ATTTACAAAAGAAATAGATAAATTTGCTACATTGAAATAGCAAGTTTTAATATTTTGTGTAAGAGTTGTAAATGTAGCAAAAATTGATTATAGTTTTCTCTAATTTAATTAGACAAAATCTGACAAATGAAAACATTTTCCACTAAAACCTACGATCCACTGTAGTAATTTTTGGTGAGCAAGTGTGGCTAGCGAGTGCAGTCATATGGCGCCTGCATTTCTATTGGTTGCTAACTTCGTCAATCTCCGTAAATGAGCCGATGCCATCCGATCATTGACAGTGACTATGTTTCGCGTATGTAAAATAAATTTGGATATTATCTACAATAATTAAATATAAAGTGAATCGTAGGTCGTTCGTTATCTCAGAAATTGACCATTATAAATTAATAAACTTTGCATTTATTCCTGTCCCAAGAACTATGTCTTATAATAAGTTGTTAAAAGTAAACTGCTTTCTCGTAAGTGCTGTAAATTTTCATCATTCAATATATAAGGAAACGAAGATATATACTTTCAGTGAAATTCGTTGTCGTGCGTGCAGTTGTGTATTAGTGTATTAATTAACCGCGTCTATACATATAAGTGAAATAAACATGTGTGTGTCTTCAAATATTTATCCAACAAATATATAAGTGTGTGTGTGTGTCTGTGTATGTAAAAATCCTTCCAGTTTACCTCCATCAGTCAAGAATTGACGGGAAACCGGCGACAAAAATCCGTATTTTTTCTTTCACTCTTTCTTTCTGCATTTACAAACGACTATAGTAATTTTACGTACACAATGCTTCTGAGTTTACTACAGTTGTTTGGAACTATTGGATGAAATAGTAAGAAACTTTGCTAATTTGGTGAACATTTGTCGGATTAGTGACTTAGTGTAGAAAATAGTAAAAAATACAAAAAGTCCCCTTATTTCCGGTGGTTGCAATGTGAAAATAGTAAATTCTAGTGTGATTTTATACAAAAATTAGTAATCTCGGTCTCTCCGTGTAGAATATAATAATGATAAAAATAGTAATAAAAATAATAATAATAATAAAAGTTGAGTAAAGGAAGAACACAACTTATATTGTCGATCATGACTTTCAAGGTTTGCTTGAGTACTCTCTTTATCTTCAGTTGCAACGCGCGGTACCGCTTCAAAAAAAGAAAAAGAAAAAAAAAGCAGAAAAAAAGGAAGAAAAAAAAATAAGAAGTCTGCTCAAAAGCCGTAAGAAAATATTCATCGCCACCCTTCCATTATTATCTGCGTCTCTCCCTCATCACAACACTATGGTGTGAAATCTTTCCTTCTCGCTCTCTTCCTGAGAAATTCTCAGGTGCACGAGATTCTCCAGCAAACAGGTGTCACGCTCGGCTGAACCAGCATGACATTCCAGATTACGGGTGCCGTCTTCCTGGAGGAGCATTGCCCCAAGTTGTCTATATACCATCCAAAGCGGTAATTACTTTTTTTCTTCTTTTTTTTTCTTTCTTTCGTTCTTCAATTCAACCTCCTACAACTTTGTGTGTTTATTAGTTTCAATTAAAATTTATCGCAAACAAACGAAATTCCTCACATTTCATTTTCGTTAAAAATTAAAATCTTAAAATCCATTTACTTCTATTTTTTTTTTTACTTTTTGAAATTTCTCTCTTTCTTCTTTCACTAGTGTTGAAGCAAATAATAGAGAAAAAAAAGTGAGAGAAGAAAATGAGAAATTAATTAATAGTAAAAGTTGGGTGCTATAAAAGAATTTAATTTAATTTCTCCAGAGTAGACAAGTAGGCTTTTATTTATTTATTTATTTATTGTATATGGAGATAAAAGAATATCTATTTCCAATCGAATGACCAAGTTCAGGGTCAATCAAGTCCAATGCACCTTACATCCCTATATAGTATCCAGCAAAACTCTAGTTAAATATTTACTTTACTTTACTTTGCTGTAAAACATCTTTGGCAAATATATATTTGCAAGAGAGATAAAGGGAATATTTCTGAGGATAGTCTGTTTGCCATTTTTCTTCAATGTTTGCTTATCGAATGTGTCAGAATTCACAATTAGGGGTCTGCCTATATATTATCTCACCTCGTTATATAACGGATTCTGAGATTAGCAATAATTGCTTATTGAATTTACTACTGGGAGAATTTTTTCTTCTTTTTTGTTTCTTCAATTTTCCTCTACTATAGGCGACAGACGTTTGATGATTAAATTCTCTATATACAGTGGAAGTTAATTATAGTCTTCGATACTTGCTAATTTGTTAACACTTTTATTTTCAGTTTCTTTTCATTTACGGATTTTTTGTACAAAAATAATTCTTCTTTGAGTAAATTTTGTTTTTGAAAATTTTTTATATTACTTCTTATTCTTCTTGTTGTTCTTCTTTTTGTACTTCTTCTTTTTTCATAATATTCTCCTTCGAATGCTTCTTCTTATTTTTTGTACTTCTTTTTTCTTCTTATTCTTCTTTTTTGTACTTCCTTTTCTTCTTATTCTTCTTTTTTGTACTTCTTCTTTTGTACTATTTTCTTAATATTGTTGTTCTTGTTCTCTTTTTTGTACTTCTTCTTTCGTCTGATTCTACTTCTTATACTTCTTTTTGTACTTCTTCTTCTTCTTCTTTTTCTTGTTCACCTTTTTAACTTCTCTATCTTCTTATTATTCTATTTCTTGTTCTTGTTTTTGTACTTTTTCATTTACTTCATATTATTCTTCTTGTTCTCATTTTTGTACTTCTTCTTTTTTCTTAATATTCTTCTTCTTGTCCTTTTTTGTAGCTCATTTCTCTTCTTATTCTACTTCTTGTTCTTTTTCTTATTTTCAGTTTTGTACTTCTTCTTTCACTACTTCTTTTTTCTTCTTATTGTACTTCATCTTTTTCATTTTATACTTCTTCTTGTTCTTCTTATTATTCTTTTTTTTTATGGAGAAACAATTCTGCTTTATTTTTTCTTTAAACGATAAAAATTTCTTCTTTTAAATAAAATTTCTTCTTCTTCTTTAAAGAAACATCAAACTTCTTCTTTAAACAAAAAAAAAGAGAAGAAGAAGAAGAAGAAAAGTAGAGTAGAAGATGAAAAAGAAGAAGCAGGACACTAAAATAATGTGATTTCTTTAGAAGAAGAAGAAGTAGAAGAAGAAGAAGAAGAAGGAGTAGAAGCTGAAAAAATTTAATTTTTTTAAAAGAAGAAAAAAAGTTCTTTTTTCTTCTTATTCTACTTCATTTTTTTTTATACTTCTTCTTTTTCTTCTTATTATTCTACTCCTTGTTCTCCTAGTTGTACTTTCTTTTATTTTATAGGATTTTTATGATCAAAAATATTTCTTAATCATTTGAGTAAAAATTTGCATTTGAAAATTATTTTGAAATATTTATCTTTTTTCTTCTTGAAAATTTTGTACTATTTCTTGTAAAGCTTCTTTTTTGTAGAAAGAAAACAATTGGTGCTTCTTTAGAACGATGGTATTTCTTCGTTTTCTTTAAAGAGAAACAATTCTGCTTTATTTTTTCTTTAAACGATAAAAATTTTTCTTTTAAATAAAACTTATTCTTGTTTAAAGAAAAATAAAACTTTTTCTTTAAACAAAAATGTAACTTCAATATTTCTTTTCTTCTTTAAATTTAGTATTAATTCTTCTGGATTGAAGCTAATTGCATCAATCAAAAATTCTTCTTTCTAATTAATTTTTTAACTAATTTTTTCTCTTAATTCTGTAAACAAAAGTTTTTTTAAATTAAAATTTTTGTTGTTACATAAAAAACCGAAAGTTACTTCTTTAAACTGAAAATTTCCCTCTTCTTTTTCTTCTTTTTTTGAAGCAATTGTATTTTTTCCTTGAACTGAAATGTATTTTCCTTTTATCATAAAACTACTTCTTTTTACAATTAAAGAAATTTTTTGTGCACAAGAAGAAGAAAAAGAAGAAGCAGAACACTACAAAAATTTGATTTCTTTGGAAAAAGAAGAAAAAAAAGGAGCAAAACTCTAAAAAAAAATTATTTGTTTAATAGAGAAAAAGAAAAAGAAAAAAAAGTAGAGTACTGAAAAATTTGACTTTTTTAGAAGAAGAAAAAGAAGAAGAAGGAGTAGAAGCTAAAAAAATTAAATTTTTTTAAAAGAAGAAAAAGAAGAAGAAGCAGAACATTAAAAAATTAATTTTTTAAAAGGGAAGAAGAAGAAGAAGAAGAAGAAGAAGAAAAGGAACCATAAAAAATGGTTTTATTTAAAAAGAAGAAGAAGAAGAAGAAGAAGAAGAAAAAGAAAAAGAAAAAGAAAAAGAAAAAGAAAAAGAAAAAAAGTAGAAAAATAGAAAAGAAGTAGAGTTTTCAAAAAATTTGATTTGTTTAAAAGAAAAAAAGAAGAAAAAGCAGAACACTGAAGAATTTTATTTTTTTTAAAGCAGAAGAAGAAATAAAGACGGAGTAGAAACTAAAAAAATGTAATTTCTTAAAAGAAAAAAAAGGAAAAGTAAAGCACTAAAAAAAATTTGATTTGTTTAAAAGAAGAAAAAGGAGAAGAAGAAGCAGAACACTGAAAAATTTGATTTTTTTAAAGGGAAGAAGAAGAGAAGGAACCATAAAAAATTGTTTTATTTAAAAAGAAGAAGAAGAAGAAGAAATAGAAAAAAGAAGAAGTAGAGCACTCAACAAATTTGATTTGTTTAAAAAAAAGAAGAAGCAGAACTCTGAAAAATTTGATTTTATTAAAAGAAGAAGTAGAAGAAAAAAAACCATAATAATGGTTTTATTTAAAAAGAAGAAGAAAAAGAAAAAAAAGAAGAAGTAGAGCTTTCAAAAAATTTGATTTGTTTAAAAGAAAAAGAGAAGAAAGAGCAGAACATAAAAAATTTGATTTTATTAAAAGAAGAAGAAGAAGAAGAAGAAGGAGTAGAAACTAAAAAAATTTGATTTTTTAAAAGAAGAAAAAGAAGAAAAAGAAAAAAAAGAAGAAGTAGAGCACTTAAAAAAAATAAATTCTTCAACTGTTACGTTTAAATAAAAACAACAAAAATTTACAATTCAGAAAAGAAAAAAAAATTTCTTTATTTAAAATTAAAAGAAGTTTATTTACTTCTCGCTATTATCGAGTAGATAATCTTAAAATTCCTTTTTCTCTCCTCTTGCAGTTGGTTATTTTCGTTTTTCAAAATACTAAAGGACTGTTAGTTCTAGGTACTCAATAAATTTCACTCTTCTTCAGTTTCTTCTGGTAGCCAGTTAAGGGTACCTACTTTGCTGTGTTTATCTCGAATTCGCCTTAGTGTAAGTCGCGTGATTTACAAGAAGAAAACGATGATGACGAAGAAAAAGGGGAAAAAAAGAAGAAATAGAGGAAGAAGTAGAAGAAAAAGAGTGAGAAAGAGAGGAAAAAGAGTGAGAAAGGGTGAGAAAGAGAAGAAAAAGAGGAAAAAAAGTGGAAGAAAAAGAAGAAAACGAAAAAGGAAAAAAAGAAAGACAAGAGCCAAAGTGTATGTACTACGCTCTAGGAGTAAACGAAGGAAGGGAATATATACAAGTAACTTCTTCTTCTTCTTCTCTTCTTTTCTCTTCTACTGTAAGGTCGCTACCCTTGGAGCAGTAGCAAGGTCAACCGCAATATCGTTGGATCGCAGAACGCTCCCGTCTTTTTTAAAGAGGCTCTCTCTCTCCCGTGTCAGAGAGACTGTCATGAGACACACATTCTATATTGAATCGCGGTGAATAACACACATCTAGTGAGGTGCAAGTGGGTGATGAAGTAGAAGACGAAGAAGAAGAAGAAGAAGAAGCAAAGAGTGTGATTGTGAGTGTGGGGGAGTCAAAATCATCAAGTTTAACACGTGTCTCCCTTATTTTTTTCCATCATTTTTAAACAATTTGTTTTCATCTTCTTCCTATCATCAAATTATTCTGTGTTTCAGTTTCTTTTAAATTTATCTCCTTTTTCTTCAGTTAATATAATTATATTTCTTCAATTTCTTCAATCTTCTTTTTCTTCAGTTATAAATATTTCTTCTTCAGTTATTATCAAAAAAGAAAGAATCTTTTTCGTTAGTTATAAATATATCTTCTTCTTCAGTTACAAATATATCTTTTTCTTCAATTATTAATATATCTTCTTCTACAATTACAATTATATCTTCTATTGCCTCAGTTTTAAATGTACCTTCGTCGAACAATATAATTTTGAGCAATAGTCAGACGAATTTTTTTGGGGAAAATTTCTTTTTTTTACCGAATGCACATAATGGAAAACTTTTCATGAGAACGTGAAATCAAAAGGATCTGAAATTCAAATAGAAGAATGTGAGTTTTTCTGTAATTTAAAGTTTATTTCGTTTTCTTTACGAATTTTTACTTTTTCTTATAATTAGAAAGAAATTTTTTTATATAGATTTATATTTTTCATTAGACAAAAACTACTACTTTTTTTTATTTAAACGAAGCTCCATACATTTCTTCTTAAAAAAAAGATGCTTTTTAAACAAAAATATTTCTTCTATAAACAAAGATATTTTTTCTTTAAACAAGTATATTTTTTCTTTAAGCAAAAGTAATTTTTTTTTAAACAAAAATACATTTTCTAAAAGCAAAAGTATTTCTTCTTCAAAGAAAGATAATGCTTTTTAAACAAAAATATTACTTCTTTATACAAAGATATTTTTTCTTGAAGCAAAAGTAATTTTTCTTTAAACAAAAATACTTTTTCTAAAAGCAAAAGTATTTCTTCTTCAAAGAAAGATAATGCTTCTTAAACAAGTATATTTTTTCTTTAAGCAAAAGTAATTTTTCTTTAAACAAAAATACTTTTTCTAAAAGCAAAAGTATTTCTTCTTCAAAGAAAGATAATGCTTTTCAAACAAAAATATTACTTTTTATACAAAGATATTTTTTCTTGAAGCAAAAATATTTCTTCTTCAAACAAGGAAATTTCTTTAAACAAAAATATTTACTCTTTAAACAAAGATAGTTTTTCTTAAAGAAGGCTATTTTTTTAAACAAAAATATTTCTTCTTCAAACAAGGAAATTTCTTTAAACAAAAATATTTCTTCTTTTAACAAGTATATTTTTTCTTTAAGCAAAAGTAATTTTTCTTTAAACAAAAATATTTCTTCTTCAAACAAGGAAATTTCTTTAAACAAAAATATTTATTTTTTAAACAAAGATACTTTTTCTATAAGTAAAAGTAATTTTCCTTTAAACAAAAATATTTCTTCTATAAACAAAAGTTATTTTTTCTTTAAACAAGTATATTTTTTCTTTAAGCAAAAGTAATTTTTCTTTAAACAAAAATACTTTTTCTAAAAGCAAAAGTATTTCTTCTATAAAGAAAGATAATGCTTTTTAAACGAGTATATTTTTTCTTTAAACAAAAATACTTTTTTTAAAAGCAAAAGTATTTCTTCTTCAAAGAAAGATAATGCTTTTTAAACAAGCATATTTTTCCTTTAAGCAAAAGTAATTTTTCTTTAAACAAAAATATTTCTTCTTCAAACAAGGAAATGTATTTAAACAAAAATATTTCTTTTTTTAACAAGTATATTTTTTCTTTAAGCAAAAGTAATTTTTCTTTAAACAAAAATATTTCTTCTTCAAACAAGGAAATTTCTTTAAACAAAAATATTTATTTTTTAAACAAAGATACTTTTTCTTTAAGCAAAAGTAATTTTCCTTTAAACAAAAATATTTCTTCTATAAACAATTAAAGTTATTTTTTCTTTAAACAAGTATATTTTTTCTTTAAGCAAAAGTAATTTTTCTTTAAACAAAAATAATTTTTCTTAAAGCAAAAGTATTTCTTCTTCAAAGAAAGATAATGCTTTTAAAGAAGTATATTTTTTCTTTAAGCAAAAGTAATTTTTCTTTAAACAAAAATATTTCTTCTTTTAAAAGTATATTTTTTCATTAAGCAAAAGTAATTTTTCTTTAAACAAAAATATTTCTTCTTTTAAAAGTATATTTTTTCTTTAAGCAAAAGTAATTTTTCTTTAAACAAAAATATTTCTTCTTCAAACAAGGAAATTTCTTTAAACAAAAATATTTCTTCTTTAAACAAGTATATTTTTTCTTTAAGCAAAAGTAATTTTTCTTTAAACAAAAATACTTTTTCTAAAAGCAAAAGTATTTCTTCTTCAAAGAAAGATAATGTTTTTTAAACAAGTATATTTTTTCTTTAAGCAAAAGTAATTTTTCTTAAAACAAAAATACTTTTTCTAAAAGCAAAAGTATTTCTTCTTCAAAGAAAGATAATGCTTTTTAAACAAAAATATTACTTTTTTATACAAAGATACTTTTTATTGAAGCAAAAATATTTCTTTTTCAAACAAGGAAATTTCTTTAAACAAAAATATTTACTCTTTAAACAAAGATAGTTTTTCTTAAATAATGCTATTTTTTTAAGCAAAAATATTTCTTCTTCAAACAAGGAAATTTCTTTAAAAAAAATATTTATTCTTTAAACAAAGATACTTTTTCTGTAAGCAAAAGTAATTTTTCTTTAAGCAAAAATATTTATTTTTTAAACAAAGATAGTTTTTCTTTAAACAAGGTTTTTTTTTCTTTAAGAAAAAATGATTTTTCTTTAAACTATGATATTTTTTCTTTAAGCAAAATTACTTCTTCTCTAAAGAAAGATAATGAAAGATAAAGATAATAAACAAAAATATTTATTATTATTATTATTGAAATGACAATAATAAAAGTATAAAGTAATGAAAATAAATAAAATTAAAGACGGTAAAATTAAATAATTCCTGAATAAAATATCATTATGTAATAAGTGAGGACGAAATAATTTTTTTTTGGTTTTTTGTTGAATATATAATTTGGCAATTATGAGAATAGTATCAAAAAAAATTATTATTACAAAATTATTGGAGCATGGCTTAATATATTTTGGTATAAAGAAAAATATTTTTCTGTTTCCTAATTTTCTAAACATATATTTATTTCTTCTGCTACTTTTTTTTCTTGTTTAAAATATTTTATTGGTACGTTTATTTCTTTATTAATTTCTGATGCAATTTGAAAATTTTATATTGGTTATAAAAGATAATATAATTGTTCCGGGGGCCACAAAAGGCGGCAACGTTTACACAATTCACACGTCTTGCATTTATATATGTGCCCACTATTCGACCATCACCGACTTTTAAGATTGACTCATCATTATCACAGATTTTTTTTTTTACTTTTATCTTTTTTTCCCATCTTTTTCTCCATTTTCCAATATATAACAATAAATTACTAAATTAATATTTTTAATTTTTATCTTTCCACAAATATTTAGTAAATTTTTTTTTCGATCTTAGTGAAAATATGTGTAAAAGAAGAAATAACTTTTTACAAAAAAATATTATTATTATTATTATTCTATTATTAATAAAAAATTATTAATTTCTTCAATATAATAACTTAATTATATTCGCTGAGAAAACAATGTTTTTGAATTAAACATAATAATTTTGATTCTACACATAAGTTTGATTCAATAAAAATTAAATTTTATTTTATTATAAAGTATGTTAAATTCAATTATATATTTTTTTTTGTTTGGCTATTTATTTTTCAAAATAAAAAAAAAAAAATTCTCTCAGTGTTTAATATAGAAAATTGCCAGTAAAAAATGTCTTTCTATAATTAAGCCAAAGTCAATGGACAATTAATTTTATGCAGTTCATTTTATATATGTATAGAATTTTATTATATCTCTCTCGCTATAGGGAAATAAAAAAAAAATGCTCATCGAAAATTGGATAATTTATTCCTATTATAAGTATTACCGTTATATAATCGTAAGCCGTCGTCAAGTATCATAAATTTTGTTGGAAATCACTTATTTTCTTATAAATATTATAAATAGAGAAGTATGTAGGGAAATTAATTACTAATTCAAACATCGTTAGTTGATATAATAAAGTTTTCATTGATAGTTAATAACAAGTTTAATTGCACGCACTCACGACTTTTAAGAGATAATATTAATTTGTTAACTGTGTATTAAGATTATTTCATTTTTCCCTCATTATTACTTCTTCTTATTAACTAAAGCTTAAAAAAATTACTTTTATTTTTTTTTTTTAAGTGAAGCATTTTTTTTAGTATCTGCTTTTTAAATTAAATTGAAAGTTGAAATTAAATTAAAATAAAGTGAATTTAACTCAGTTATAGAATAAAATAAAATAAATTCAATTCAGTGCCAAAAGCAAACAAAATTTTATTTATCAATTTTTTATTTTTTTAATATTTATTATTTCATTTATTGTTTTATTGAGTTTTTTTATTTATTTTATATTTTTTGAAATTTTCAATTGTTTTCAATTTTTAAAATATATTCAATAATAATAATAATTAAGTAAAAGATCTTTAAATATTAATTGTCCTAATGGCTTACGCCATTAGACCAAATAATATTTAAAGATCTTTTATTTAATTATTATTTTGGTTTCAAAATATTTGCAAAAAACGTTGTTTGAAAAATTTTAAAACCTAAAAAAAGTTAAACTTGTTGAATAAGGTTCAAAGACAACTGATTATGTTTTTTATTAATTTAAAAAAAATTCACCCCTTTAGCTCTTATGGAATTCGAGATATTTATAAAAATATAAATAAATATAAATAAAAATATAAAAATACAAATTTTTTTTTAATTTTATTTTTGAGTTTCTGAAATTAATAGAAAATGTAAAGAAAAGAAATTAAATTCCGATTTTTCTATTTTAAATTTTAATTTATTAGGGGAACATAGTCTAGGTCGGCCACCTTTTTGACTTTTGTTTATAACTTTTTTTTAAAAATGAATTTGGACAATTGAAGTATATGGTTGGAAAGTCCTGTTTAATAGGAACATTTTTTCTGTACAAAGTAAATTGACAGGTTTAAAAATGAAAAAGTTATAAAGATTTAAAAAAAAAAAAATTTGTAGTCCAGGTTGGCCATTACAGTCAAGGTCGGCCATGTTTAAAATTCAAAGGGCATTAATCGTTAAAAAATAAAATAACATGTTTGGAGTTACGGAAAATTGATTCTTTATTGTTTACAGTTTGTAACTTAATGAAATAACAAAATAATAACAATAAACAATATAAAAAAATAAATATAAATAAAAAAAAGTTTTGCACTAAAATATTAATAAAATTAAATAAAAATATTAATAAGATGATCAATTATATTATGAGTTATACAGAATTGCAGTTTTTGCAAATGAAGTAGCTCGTCCTCAACTTTGCGCATTTTAAACACATAGTGGCCGACCTTGACAGTAAGTAACATTACCGAATTGTTGTAACCATAAAGAAATACGTTT